TTTCTTTCATTGGTTTTCTATGAGTAAGTGACGTTACCAGAGGCTGAAAAAGATAAATTACTATTATTCTAGTATTAGTTTATTGAGATGTTCAAATAAGTGAGATTGTTATTTCTTTTACGAAAAATAACACACGGTAATTACTGGCAGTGGGCCAATAAGGATATTATTTACCAACATTATGTACAAGATAATGTTACTATTATGTTACGAAAGATAATAACGCATCATCTATTCAGTTGTAGTTCCTATTACTCCACTATAAAACAATGTTATGTGTAACAACTCGTAAATTATAAGTCTGAGTAGTATATTCTTGTTATCTAAGTAAACAGAACATATGTATATAGTTTAAGCGAAAGCCTAAAGTTCAGGGCAATTATGCAGGCTTCCACACTATATTTCTTCAATACCGAATCGCTAGAGAAAAACCTTACAAAAATACACACATCTTGTTAACCATAGATTCAGTATGTTGAATCAGTCTATACGTTTACAGAAATCAAGCGATTATGTTAATGTCGTTTAGCAAATTACTAGAGAGAGAGAATTCTTTTCATTTATGTAAAATTAATTATTTATTAATAGTTTAAATGCGTGCGTGCATTTACTAATATGCGAGGTGATCATGTCTGGCGGGTCGCGGCCCGATGGCCGATGTTCGGAAGTTGTATAAATACTAATTTTCGCGAAAACTTTCATTGCGTGAAGTAGGATTAGTTCTTAATTCATAGTTTGAATGAAGTATGACTTTCATTTTTTTATTTTTTTGCAGTCGCCAAAGTATCATTAAAAGTACACTTTCAATATATCAATAAACGATAATGAATTGAATTCTAAAAATCTTCGTGTGGGCTAACTGTAGTTTAATTTAATCAGTCGATTTAAAAAAAAACAATATTATTATTATAATAGTGATATTAGGTGATAAACATACATATACTTTATAGCCTTGACTGTTTTCTTTTTAATTTCACTTTTTTATATACTAACCATGAACCTTCAAATTAATGTTAAACGTGTTCTTCATAAGAAAAGGATTAATTAACTGCCTTGGCTTTTTTGTCAGCGGTCAATAATCTCACAAATTAAACTGTTTACGTCAACCACTACAAAGAAAATGTACAAAAACATGACAAAAGATTTATAAAAAGTCTCTAGTAAGAATTAAATTGGAATTGGTGAATATTCTTTTACTTTTTTTTTTAGAAATTCTTTTATACATCTCAAGAATATTGTAACTTTCAATTTAAACCTTAAATGAAACTCAATTATTTATACCAGTGTAAAGATTCTGCTCTGATTTTGTAATTAATAGGTTCATTTTAAGTAGCTCTGATATGGGGATAGAATGGCAGCCTGATTGCATTAATATGCAATCGGGCCGCCACGCCCCGATTGAGGGGGAAGTGGGTTCCCCCACTTCCCCCTCAATCGTGTGAAATAATATGGTCTGGGTCCTCCCAGAGTAGGACACCTGAGGCCGGCCATCGGGGTGGCTTTTAGTGGAATCACCACATACTCCTAACTCCTGAGTCCCCGAGGAGCAGGAGATCCGAAGGGATTTTCGACCCCGTCAACAAAAAAGGTAGCTCTGATATAATATAATGTACTTCGTCTTAATATACAAACAATCTTGTTAATATATCACATAATCAGTGATACATTAAGGTAACACATTACCAGTACAAAGTACAATTATTGTTAATGAATCCAACAAAGACAATTAATATTGTTTTAGAATCTGTCTAGCTAGTGAATTATAGACCACCGATTGCTTGATCGCACCTCCAAAGAAACAACCGGGATGAAACTAAAACGCACTCAAAAACGTAATAATGGAGAGACATCATTTATAAATAAAAGTAATTTGGTCTAAGCGGTCACCACGCTTCTTACTACTGCGTTGTGGGTTCGATCGCCACATGGGACGACACTTTGTGTGATCCACAAATTGTTGTGTCCGTTTCATGTATGTTTGTAAACCGTCCGCGACACAGTATATATTCCTAATGCGGGCGTTGTCTTTGTAAGGAAAAAGAAAAAAACAATTTAATTTAAAGTAGATAAAAAAAACAGGCTATTTCTGAAACATACACATTGCGTATATTTCAGAAATTGTCTGTACTTTTTTTGTTTTTCTTAAGTAGTAAAATAGAATAAGGAAATAAAAAACCTTCCACCTACCGATACACAATGACATTTTGCAGCGCCAGACATCTACAATGCTAAGGAACCTGCTGCCTCTCATAGTTTTTCTTCATTGCCAAATATATATCCCACATAATATACTTAGATATAAAATAAGTACAACGATAAATCTGCATTTAGCTTCGCACAGGCCTATTAAGTGAGATATCGACAAAACTTAATGTACCGTGAACTAAATGAAAATGAAACCTCTTAATGTCCAACATACTACAATATCGGTTACACTATATGAACACAGCTATCACGATTACAAGTATCTGGTAACATTATATTTATTAGATGTCTTGTTCTACTACGAGTACGTATGTTATGTACATAATTGTCATTCAAGTCATTTCATTTCTATGTAACGAAGTCGTCTAAACTATTGAGGTTTTGAGGTTTTAACTCATAAGATCTTTATAAGGTCTAGTCTAAAAAAAATTAACGACTGAGAACAAATGTATGACAAAAATACATAAATATAATATTAAAACTATTGCACTACTACTAAGGTCAAAATTTAATCCGTTTAATTTTATTAGTTATATGTAGTATTTAAACGTTTTTATATAAGAATAGCGTAATACATAAGAAACGATGGCAACCAATTTTAATAATAATTTTATAAAATAAAATACTTCACTTAACTGTTTGAAAAGGTTTGCTTTGTGCACTTATTCTGCATACAAATATTAATTTTAGTATTCCAAATGTAAGTTTTTTAAAGAGAACCAATAATGTTCTTCACGTGTTAACTTATGGACTAAAATGGTAGATTATAAACAGTAATTATTACATAGTACAAAGTTGTTTTAAAACATAAATATTACTGTCCAAATTAAACACGCAATGTCAGCGTAAATCACAATTTATTATCTGGTAATTGTAGAAAAAATAATAAAAGATTACTACATGCATTTGTTTTTTTAAAGATCCCGGAAAAGTACGTTATAATATAACAGTCTAATAAAGTCTTTCTTAATACGTTTTTGTATTGCATTCTTCTTGGCTTTTACACGTGCATACTAGATACAAAATAAAAAGCGCGCGTACTCGTAAAGCCCTTGAATTATTAGACCTATTAGAAAGCGTCCGTCTAGATTCAATTTTAATCCTATCATGCAAATAATCTCAAAATGAAATTGCGTTATCAAAGTAACGAATATATAGGTTAAAGTTATTTTAATTGGTTGTGATAAAAAAATTATCATGTTTTATGTCTAGTAGTTTATTAATGTAAATCTTTCAAAGGCGTTTGATGTGTATATCCGTATTCGTTAAACTTTTACTCTTCATTATCCATTATCATTAATATTTGTCAACAATTGGACACAGGTAACACTTAATGATTTTCGTAGATAAGAAAATTATAAACGCCCTGTATTTATCTTTGACCCGCGCTTTTTGCAGGGTCTTCTGCAAAGTTGTTAATGGAACTCCTACGCTTCGGTCAATGGTATCCATAGCTCCATGCAACCTGCTCACTGCCACTTCAAATTGCTAATATATCAGTACATTTGCTAATTTCTAACGCAAACTCTCAGAAATATTCGTCTAGATAACGCAATTAGTATAAATATGATAAAGAATTCATTTAATTTCTTTTGCAAAGAAATTTCTTTCGTCAAAAGTGTAATTAATGTATTTTCACAAAAATCTTGAAGTGGAACATTAAATAATAATAGAAATTATAATCGAACTGTACTCAAATCTACTATGTTTTTTTGAGTAGGAAGTAGTCAGAAAGTTTCTAAACATTGCTAATTTAACAATGTAAAGACCCTTTCAAGATATAGTGATGGTCAGTGACCATATCGATGGTAATTACCTTGTGTTTTTATTTTTACCTGTCCGAAGTTAATTTCCATAACTGAGTAGTGCTACGCGGTGTACCGTGGCGTACTCTGCCGCTCTAGTGATGGAATTAGTCGATAGAATTTACTTCCGCTGTTACATTAAAAATAAAGATTGAACATTATTATATTTCATGAATATTGATATTGTAGTAAAATTAAGCAGAATGTATAATTTGAGTTCAGATTCTTGTAGTAATTTCATTTCTCTCGATAGTAATAATTTTTCCTTTAAAAATGCATTATTTTACTATTTCACAGTAATGCTGTTATTTGCTCAATAATCTAAAGTATTTTTCATTATTAAAATATTTACATGCCAATATAAAAACCTATTAATCGGCAATAAAATAATAAAAATAATCTTAAAACAGTGACAATTACATACTGATAGACAACTTGTTTAAGATTTAAGTATGATGACGCACAATTGAGTTTTAAAAATTAAAAATATTAAAATAATTTAAGTATTAGGTAAAACTTGTGTATGTTTTATACCAGAATACATATATGTGGACTAAGACCTAATCAATAGTTTCATTCCGTTTCATTATTGGTCGAAACTCTAATTCATTTAAAACTTTTCTTTTTTTAACTTATTCATAAGAACTAATAAAATTACTGACCTAATTTTCAGTCTCAAAATATTCATCGAAACTGAAATTCAAACCTCTTCATGTCATGGATGTTTCATTCCGTTGCTGTCCATTATCTCATTGTTTAGATTTCCTTAAGCGTTTGGCACTCATGAAATGTGAATGTTGTTCCATTATTCTCAATTATCGCTGCACAGCAAAACTACAAACAATACCACATCCCTAAAAAAACAAAACATCGACATTATCAACGCACAGCACTCGTGAGCACCTTCTTACAGTTTAGTGTTACGTGCAAAGCGCATGCGCGCGATCGTATTTTTCATTCTCGTGTAATAATAGTAAAATTAAATTTTATATGGCAGTGGTGACACGACCGTGTAGTGATTTCCATTGTGTGATAAACAAATCATGCAGAGGAAGGACTTCTAAGCATGGCTGGGTAATAATAGTATTTATAGAATTAATTTTAATGACCTTCTTATGTCTTAACAGCCTGAATCTGTAATTGAAAACCACGAGATCGCTTATAGCTAGTTGTTTGATGATTATAATATTAATGTGTGCAAAAAATACTTATGCAAATTTTTAGACAATTTTTAAGATACTTTAAGATATGGTTATCTTAAAGTATCTCAGACAAGGACTTAATTTTTACGTTGGAGTATTATCAAGTTGATCACATGAATGTATTTTTTATTTTATTTTTGTACATAAATAAGTAATGTACATACAAAAACATTATTTTTAACTTGATAGGTAGCAACAGCCGCAAAATATTTTTAAGGTGTTAAATCATATTCAACAGATATATTACATACATGCGTATGAAAATTTAATGATTAGAGTGACATTTGAAAACAATTTGATCGAATATTTGTAGTTCAATTTCGAGTTAAGTGTAATAGGAAATGAATTTATTACCGTGTACTGGAACATATTTCCATCTTTAATGATATTCCCCATCAAAATATGGCCTCGATATCAACCCGACTTTGAAATCCAAGATTTTACATAAACGCAAAGTTTAACTATGCAAAAAATTTGATAATTAATTTTTAATAATATTTATTACTTACTCTTTCGTGCCGTCATTGTATAATAATAACATAGTATAAAAATATAATGTTTAGTCAGTATTTTGATTAAGGCGAGTGACTTGCGACCTGAGTTTGAACACCTATTACTACTACCGTCGTGAACAAATTTCTACCACATGTATGTACCATAATTTCGTTTGTTAACAAATACACTCTATATATTTTGCAAATATGTAACCCTGCTTTTATTACCAATTCTTTAGAAATAAAAAAATCAAGTAATCGTGATTGTTCTTTGTCAAACAGACTTTGATGTCGTCTAAAGATTTATGAAAGACTCTTTGGAGATTTTTTATTTTTTAAGATGCCATCGCTTGTTTGAGAATTCCTTTTCAATCTTGAGAATTCCATAACACATTTGATATCAGTTATCTTACTAAAAGGTCACTTCTAATCAATAGCTAAAATCACTTTTTTAACCTCACAAATGTAAAGCTTCGGTTCTACTGTATTTACATTAATCTGTATTGTAAGGAAATCTTTCTGACTGAATTTCAGCTTCGGTTTTGCAAAGATTTCTACCATTAAAAAATGATACACAATTTAATCCAATCCAATAGGTGGATATATGATACATATGATGGATTTTTTAATATATATTCTAATATTCATCAGCTATGACTTCTTAATGCCATTGTTTCTTGATTATATTAAAACAAATTAATTACACATAAAAATTCTAGTTGAGGTAATGCATAACTTGTCTCTCGAGCTCTAAGAGGTCGTACATAATATCGTACTTTTATTCAATATCAATTTATAAATTATGGGAGTGCTGCTTCAGCACAAATGGGACGACTCCACCGAAGTTACACCAAGGTTACACCTCACAGGAAACCGTGTTGAGAAATTCTTTCGTTGCTATATTCACCAAGTGAGTAAGGTTACCGGAGCCCAAGCTCCACTTCACCCTGAGTCAAAGGGTGGACTCATATCGTGGTAACACACTTGTAATAATAGGTCTTTACTTATGGAGTTGGAGATTTTTAAAATCAGCAATATCAGATTAAATTATCTGTGGATTGGCGAGCGATTCAAAATTCAAATAAATTTTATTCAAAAGCCATGTCATTTGTGATGTGATATTTGAGTTGCTGGTGTCCATGGCCTGCAGTAGTTACTTACCATCTGGTTACCCGTCTGCTCATTTGCTTGCCTTGGCCATATAAAAAATACCATACCAATTTTTTTTTTAAACAACTCCCGCAATAGGAATATATCCTGTGTCGCGAGGGACAATACAAACATTCAAGAAACGGACAAAAAGAACACCCAGACTTGGAACAAAAATTTGTTCAACATACAAGAAAAGTTATTTAATTTTATAGGCTATTCAGTTAATAAAAAATAACTTAAAATTTAGTAACAAAAACATGGTAACAGCCATTTTTCTTGTTAATAGCCTCTTTTTATTAATAAACAATCTCAAATCAATTAAAAATAAGAGCCGAGTTACTTTAGTCGCAGTGATTATTTGTTGCAAATATCAGTGGTTTTTTTTCCATACATTTCCTAGACTGTTATTTTTTAGTAACAAAAATGTACTAGTTAGGGCCCTTCTATTAGAAAAATCACATCAAAACACTTTCAGTCCCCTGTACTTTTTAGCACGTATAAATAATCACTTTCCGTTCCTTAGGATCACAGCGTCATATCGCATAGCCAAATGCCTTACTCAATGACTGCTCCTTATTCCTTTAAAAATAAATTCCTTTTAAAGAACACAAATGGTAATGTATATTTAATTGAGTTGCGTTACTCCGGCTTTATTACGAATTAAGTACGAATTTGAAATATAGAAACTAATAGAAATATCAATCGTATGGAGATCTATACGAATGGGAGGTCTTCATTAGTTGGCAGTTATTATAGCGTTGGAAATCTTTTATGTGAAAACTAGTCATGCAACCTCTTAGTCCAAACTAATATAGACATAAGTCGTGAAAATGGAACAGAACATGTCATAGTTATCAGCTGTATCATCGCCTTGGGTAATGGCAGGCATTAATTGTGCCGTATCTAAATAACATCTTTTTGCTTTCTCACAAATACACAACTGTCACACGTACAACCTCATGGTACACTAGAGAGCAATGAATTCGGGTCGAATCTTTAATGAGTCTCTTCAAAAAGTGAAAATTAACTGTAGGGAATGGCCAGCAGGCAGCATGGTCCTCAACCCGATAGAGCACGTCGAGCTCAAACGATGCATGAGACTACGAAACCCTTCACCGATCCAATTTCGAAAGCTCACATAGAGAAATGGGAGAACGTTATCAAATATATTTTAAGGAATTTGATGTTAAGCATACTAAACTAGCAAAACGGTAATATTGTTTAAATATCATCAATCTTTGAGCCTTTTTCGTTCAAAAAAGGTTATGTAATAAAAAATTGTTAGTTTCCAAGGTTTTCAGACGTCTTTATGTAATGCGGATTTATTCAAATGTACTTTATTTTAAAAGATGATTTGTTCATCTTTTCCACGGTTATTTGAACTAAAAACTTATGAGAATATACTCGTATTAAAGACCTGTACTTACTTTACTTGACCTGAGAAATGACCTCGCGACCTAACAATTACGAACCACTCATAAATGGCTCCTACGCAAGTCAAATTAGACGGTTCCTTCAATTGATATTGAGTGAAAATGGTATATTTGACTGCACGGATGGCGTAGTGGTTTAAGCGGTCGCCACGCCGCTACCTACTACGCCAAGTGTTGTGGGTTCAAACCCCACATGGGACGACACTTTGTGGGACCCACAAATTGTTGTTCTGAGTCTGGGTGTTCTTTGTGTCCGTTTCATGTATGTCTGTAAAGTCCCCCGCGACACAGGATATATTCCTAATGCGGGCGTTGTCTTTTTCTAAAAGAAAAAAAAAAAAAAAAAAAAACATAGTTTGAGACTCATGAATCTTTTATAAGTATTATTATGGTGACAATAGTTTGGTAAATATATACGCGTATGTACTAACCGAATAAAAATCAGTGTTTTGAAGCATTGTTTGGGATTACGCTTAAAGTTACTTTTTAAAATGACATCTCATGACAAGTCCACAGGATTCACACTTTTAAATTAAGATACGACGATTTCATTGCGAATGCATAATATTTTTTGTCGGTTCATCTATTTTCCTAATTCAAATAGGAATGAACAGTGACCGAGCGCGCGAGCGGTACAATGTTTCGGTATCAGGAAAAATTATTATCATTTTACTATGAAAATAATGTTTGTTTATAATCTATATCATCATGGGCGATCCCTATGCCGAAGGTCCTAAATAAAATATAATAGGGGTTAAAGTATAAAATTGCCGTTGTATAGTAATGGATACTTTGAATTGACATAAAATCTTCATGGTGTGAGATTTTCGTGTGAAACTTTTTACGCATGATCCCTATAAAAGATGTGCAACATTCGATTTCGGACTTTCAATTGTTTTTTTTTTATTCAGCTTAGACGTGAAAGGTGGATAATTCGATAATCCGAGTCATTTTTGAATACGAGTTCCGACGCGGAACTAACGTGGTAGAAACGGCTTGCAATATCAAAGCTGAATTGAAGGAGATGGTGGAAGCTGATCCGAGTCAAACAAACCCAGGAATTAGCGTTACTCTACCTACTATATTGACTCATTTGCATCAATTTAATAATATAAAATAATATGAAAAATGTTTGCCTCATGACTTCACTGATCTGCAGAAAGAAATTCGTGATGAAACGTATGTTGCCTTGTTGAATCGGTACAGAAATGAAGTAATATTGGGTTGAATTGTGACATGGGACGAAAAGTGGATTGTTTACGATAACCGTAAGCGCAAAATGCAATGGCTGACCCCAGGTCAAACAGCGCAACAGTGCCGTTTGTTTTTTTTGTTTCCCAACTGTTTGGTCGTCTCTTCATGGTGATATTCACTATAGCTATCTCAGGCCTTTTCGGGCAATAACAGCAGATGCTTACTGTGCTGAACTTCGAACAATGATAGCGAAACTGGCAGTGAAACAACCCCGACTCGTGACTCGATCTTCACCATAATGGCTGCAGTTAGAAACCATACGTAATCCTCCGTGCTTGACAGACCTTTCTCCTCCAACGGACTGCCATTTATTTCGTGATTTAGGCTATTTTCTACGTGATAAAAAAATTTGTTTTCAGGAGGCAGTACAAAATGCTTTCACATAGTTTGTCCAATCTAGATCCCCAGAGTTACATCGTAAAGGCATAAATGAACTTCCGTTTATATGGCAGAAATGTGTAGATAATGAGGGTAAATATTTTGATTAAGTAAATATGTTACATCTTAGATTTTTCAGTACAAATCGACAATTTGATACT